TTACAAAATAAAATCCTTCTGTGGCAAAACAAAACTCTAATCCACAGGATAACAAAGATTATCCAACAGAATTTAACCCAGACTGTGTCGAGCCAAACTGTCGGAGGCTCACTGTATCAATAATGACTGTATACTTCAATTACACCAACAGGAGAAATCAACACAACTGATCATTTAGAGAGCAAAAAATATTATATTCACAAATATCTTCACAAAGAATTACACATTCACAGTCTTATTATAATGATACTTGTTATCTTGGCAGAGGTTTTATACTGGATCCTCTTCCTAGGGTTCAGATAAGCCAGGAATCATTGGCCAATCTGTTCAACCACCTTTGCTAAAAAATGGTGATGAAGTTGTGACGGTTCATCCTGAGAGGAACATGAATATGTGAACCAAGTTCCATGGCTGTTGGTCGAATAGATGTTGAGACATTTTGTTCAAAACCACAAAACTGAACTTCATGGTGGTACTAGAGGTAAAGTCAGTGGATCACCATAGTCACTGGGATTCATCCTCTGGGGACCATGAACATCTGCACAAAATTTCATTGCAGTCCATCAGACAGCTGTTATATTATTTCAGTCTGGACCAACCAACCGACAAACTTTCTCAAGTGAAGGAAGTGAGTAAATGAATCCCCCAGGTTTACTCAATACTTTGTGTTGACTCTTCATCAGCTGTTAAATTTAATGTTCAGCCTCTTTAGCTTTTTTTTTTTGCTTGTGTAGTTTAACTTTTGTGCGACACACACACATGCACACACACACACACACAGACACACACACACACTGATACCAGGCAGAACCAGATTCACTCTGTCGAGAGCCCAATGTGTTTTTACAGCTGTGTGCAAACAGAGTTTATTAGACTGGAAGTGAAGGCAGGGTGACATTACTGGGACAGTCATGTTTACCTGTGTGTGTGTGTGTGTGTGTGTGTGTGTGTGTGTGTGTGTGATATGGCAGTGATACAGCAGCATTACATCATGATGTGACTGTGTGTCTAGTTGCTTCCTGTCTTTATGTGAAAAATGATACGAGTCGTGTGTGTGTGTGTGTGTGTGTGTGTGTATTGTGGTATAATTAATGAGATAAGATGTACTTTTATAGATCCCCCCGAAGGGTAAATACAATAAAAAATGAAGGGCTTATCCAGGATTTGAACCCAGGACCTCTCGCACCCTGAGCGAGTATCACACCCGCAGACCAGCGAACCATGACAGCTCGTGTCTGTCGTCCTTCAGCTGACAGCGAGCTGGTTTCTCCCTCTGATGATCTGAAGAGCTGAAGCTGTGTCCAGGCACATCTATTCTTCTTTCATTCACAGGGGGCTGATGAATGCATATTGATCAGTGACATCACCACCACCCCTGTCGCCATAGTAACGTCTGTCCGTCAGCTGACGTGTGTGTGTGTGTGTGTGTGTGTATAATTAGTCTGGTGGATCAGACTGATTAACTGCTCCATCCATCACGCAAACACAGAGAGGAGAGGAGGGCTGGCAGCCTGTTGACAAACATTTCAACAGATTCTCAGCAGATATAAAGACACATTCATTAAAGGTCCCATGTTTTACACTTATCCTGTATTTTATTTTGAAGTGTTGATCCGCAAGAAGATATATTTGAAAAACCATCTGTAGTTTTACATCTCCTCTCTCAGGCTTCTCTCTGCAGCTCTAGTAACAACAGGTCGGTGAGCCAATCAGAAGAGAGGAGGCTCTGAGCCTCTCTTTTGATTGGCTGACTGTTTTCTGAGTGATCCAATAAAAATAAAGCAGATTTCAGGTAAAAACTCTCAGAGAAACCAAAGCCTGCAAAGGTTTGGATGGTGGGTCCAGGTGGGCGGGGCTTGGTGACTGCTTTGTTGTGACATCACAAAGTTCCAGAAGTCCTGACGGCTGGTTTTAAGGCTCAGTTTCTGAATACAGGCTGTGTGCATTTCTCTGTGGACTGAGGCTTTGATACTTTCACAGTATTAATATAGAAGCTAGACCTGATCTATAATCACACTACACATGGACACAGACCTTTAGACTCTACCTATAAAGTAGACATTGCTTTCTGAAAGATTTCACATCACACACACTTATGAAGGCCTTGGAAGCTTTATCACAGCTAAAGAAGTGTTGTCGCAACTTAACATCCACAGCTCACACTGGATGTTCCCACAGTGATGCTGTGAAATCAGACAGTGTCAACCAGCAATTACACCCCAGCGACTTTAAAGGTCACTCCACAGGTGTTACACATTGAATTCTGTTTATAGGTGTTGGGGAATGCTACTGTCCTCACATGTCACTTAATAAACGCTAGTTTGGGCTCGAGGCTACAAGCTTGAAAAGTTAAACCATCTCAACTTTCCACTCCATTGATGCTCAGACTCTAAATAGAGCTAATTCATTCCAGTGTTTACTCTGTCCAATAGTTTCATACAGAATAATGTAGTGATGCTAACAGATGCTAACAGCCCTTGATGTTTCTTTGAGTGCCGTTTGACAGCATGTTATAGATTGAGATTAGCACACTTAACATCAACCCCATGGACGTCGATTGGATCAGTCAGTCGCAGTAGCTCATTTTCCCTTGCGAACTTGCCAAATTGCTTTGAGCACAGAGACAGTTTTTTCCCCTAGAAAATCGACTCCAATGGAGCAGATGTGTGTCAGTCTGTCCGTCAGCCTGAAAGGATCCGTCTAAAGGATCAGTTGGGAGTCACTGAAGTGAAACGTTTCTGACAGAGCTGCAGAATCACAAGAGACGGGCAGATTGATACCACAGTAACAAATACTAACTTGGTATCAAGGCCAGTTAAAAATATCTATAAAAGTAGTTTTTGTTTTTACTTTTATTTTCTGTGACGTTGCCAAGGCTTGACAGGCAAACAGAAAATGCTCATGGGGGGTTTCTGCAGGTAAACAGAGAGAATCCCAAAGCAGCACGTTTCCGTCTGTTCTCTGGAAAAAGAACTCCTGTTAAATGTTGAGTTTTTAAAACCAACATGTAAAAATTGTTTAAAGGTTCATGTTAGTTTTATTGTGTTGGAGGTTTTAGCCGGGTTAGCAGCTGGGATCTAAGGATGGCAATGTCTGTTGATCTACCACTTTGGTCCAGACTTAAATATCTGTTCTTGCATTTGGTTAAATCAACCAGATGATTTGGCAAATTTAAATATCTCAATATCGACATTCATGATCCCCAGAGGATCAATTACTTCAGTAATCATCTGACTTTATCTAGTGTCAGTAGCAGGTCAAACCTTTCTCTTATTTGGTGAAATATCGAACAGATGACCCGGCAAATTTAAAATACCTTAATAAGTATCAGATTTATTGCTTTTTTAATTTTGCTCAGACATTCATGGTCCCCACAGGATGATTCTCAATGACCTAAGTAATCACCTGGCTTTTTATGAAAAGTCAGTAGCAGATAATTTGCCAAATCTTGAATATCTCAACAACTATCGGATGTATTGCCATGAATCTTTTTACAGACATTCATGGTCCCCAGAGGATGAATCTCATGACTTCGATGAGCCCCTGACTTTTCCTCTAGCACCGCCACATGATTCACCTTTTGTGGTTTTGAACGAAATGTCTCAACATCTATTTGACCGACGGCCTTGAAACTTGGGTCACACATTCACGATCTCCTCAGGATGTACCGTCATAACTTCAGTGATCATTCCACATTCCCATCAGCCTCAGCGGTATTTTGTGTTTATCACTAACGAGCAAAGTTTAGACTAAACTAAGATGGTGAACTTTGTAAACACAGTAATTTCTTCACATCATATTGTCATATTGAATATTTTAAAATGTATTTTAATGGGAGCTAAGTAACACTTCCCACACTGCCAGTAGCTCTTTGTCTAGTCTGGTGGAGTGATACACGGAGAGTGAAGAGGGTGAAGTCAGGTTTCTGTCACTGCTCTCTTTGCAGTTTTGTGACATTCAGCAAATAGGAACAAGTTGCACTGAGGAAGATGTCGCTTTGATTTTACTTTTACCCTCAGCACAGAAAAGTGAACTGTCGGATCGTACGACATATTTTCATCTGTAACAAACAGCTGATGATTATTTCAAATCGTCTACATCCCACCAACCAGTGACGTGAGAGGAACTCGTGGCGCTTCAGGGGCACACACGCTGTCACCATGTGACCCTGTTGTTCTTTCAGTGAGGTCAACAGCGAGGCCACCGCGCTACCGCAGCGCGCTGATAGGCGCGGGGCGGTCACGTGACACGGCGGTATTGATTATTGATCGGAATGTTTGGCAGATGAGTTGTGGTCTGCGTGTGAGCTGGTACACACTCCTCATTAGCCGCAGCGGTTTCAGTCTAAATGAATGAAGCTGCAGCTCCAGTAATGAGAACACACTCGGCCTGAGAGCTGTGAATATTACAACATGAGTGTGAGAAATATCGGAATCCAACAAAAGCTGAACCTTTAACTTTCTTTGCCTTTTTTTTTCCCTCTGTGTTTAAAAGTCGATTGTTTTCCTGCTCTCGGCTGTAAATCCATTTTTCTTTGTGTAGATTCGAACAAAAACTCAACCTGACTCCATTACTTTTTTCTGGAGAGCTGAACATGATCTCGGCCTGATTGAGTTTCTCTCTCTCTGTGGGCTTGACCTGCCGAACGCCGACCTGATTCCAGTTCTCTTTGTCTCTGTGAACATTTGGACAAAAAAAAAAGAAAAGTTCCCTCAATTTTAATTTCTGTCTCTCTGCAGATTTGAATTTAAACTCAACCTGATTGCGTTTCCTCCTCTGTAGACTTTAAGATACACTCGGCTCCGTTTTGTTTGTCTCCTTGTAGATTTGAATATAAACTCCACCAGATTTAATTTCCTTCTCTGTATAGATTTTTTTAAGGGAAGTCTGAATTCCACTCTGTTTTCTCTGGAGCTGATCAGACACTAACTCCATTACTTCTCTCTGTGTTTGTGTTTTAAAATCAGCCTGATTCCATTTCTCTTTCTCTTCATCTCCAGATCCGCCTGTACGCCCGGCCGGACGCCATCGCTAGCGGGGCAGGGGACTACGCCCTCCACATCACCAAGAGGCTTCTGGGATTTTACCAGGACTACTTTAAAGTCCAGTACTCGCTGCCCAAGCTAGGTAAGGTCGCCGCCGTCTTCCTCCTCCTCCTCCTCCTTTGACGTTGCTGTTTTTGGCTGTGTCCTTCTGTCTCGGCAGGATCCCCTTCAGTGTGTTCAGACTCAGTCAAAGGCAGTAAGAAACACTGTGTTCCTCTGATGTTTGATTTCCTGTCAGCGTTCGTAAAATAAAAAACCACACTGTTGACTTTTCTATCCCCCTGCTGATCCATTTTAGGAAAGAAAAGACAACTTCCCCTTCCTGTGCTGCCCGCTGTTGGGAAGTCAGCCAACTCTTTGTCCTTCGAACAATTACGTTTGGGTTCATCAATTTGTACTCATATCAGGCAGAGAAAACACTCTGTCCTCCTTTTCAGCCTGCGAGTCAGGGGGCTGTACAGTGTGATTAGGTCTGGGAATTGAACCTTCAGTCAGTTCTTCTGAGGCCGTTTGTGTTCAGACATTAAACACCGGAGCATCTGAGAGCTTATTTAGATAAAAGCTTTTTTGTACAAAGATGTGCTCATGCTCAGCAGTGAGGTATCAGAGTGCTGCACCTTGTTGTGCCAGCTCGGTCCCTTTGTCCTGCTCATTATTAGTCGCTGGTTACATAATTAGCTAAAAGGAAACTGAAGGAAACGCAAGTGAGCTTTTGCCCATTGTATAATCGTAACAGCTTATTTTATTTTTTAAAGTATTTCTTTGGCAACGATGGCTGAAGTGCACTCAGAGGACTTTAACTGAAGCTGCGGCAGTAAAGAAAAGTTCAAGAGGCAGTTGTTGTAAAATGGACGCGGGGAAACGAGAACGTGTGGCAGTTCAAGCGGACGTGATGAAAAGGGTCGTTTCAGCCGGAGCGTGAGCGCCGTGCACCTGCACACGCAGACCTCAGAGGGGCTGGAGCACCTGCCGTTTGGCCTCCTGGGGGGAAAGTGCCCTTTTCCTGGGGTGTTTTTTTTCCCTTTGTTTAATGAATAAATAAATTCCGGTTTGCGCTCAGCCTGCCCCCCTGAGCAGATGTATTGATTGAGACTGGTGCTCCCGGGCGGCGCCCTCTACCCTCCCTCCCCTCCTGGTTTCCTGCTGCAGCGGCGAGCGTCATGTGGGCACCAAGGCTATCTACGGTGAAAGAACACAAAGGCACCCGACAATCAGTGTGTCAGTCAGGGTGATGAGTTACTTTGTTCATTTTGGTTCCGTATTGATATTGATGTGCTTTAGGAATTTGACGTTGTTTGGCAGGAAGGTACGGTGGCCCTGAAGCTCAACGCACTGCAGCTTAAGAAAACACACATGCAAACAGACAAAACACAAACACATTCATCAGACATCTTCATCAAATTCACAACACATATGCTGTAAATACTCACAACACAACGGAAGTGTTTCTAAAAAGTGATGAACCTGGCTGGGAAGCACGTGTTCCTCAATGCTCGTAACTTCCTGGTTTCTAAAAGTCACAAAGCATTGAGCGTGTTCCCTGACCCTCCACATCACACGCTTCGTAGTCACGAGGCTACGACTTTGACAATCGTTGCTCCTCCCCTTCTCATTTGCATCTTTAAATATGTGAGGGAGGGTTGTAGTGGATTTCAGGGGTGTAGTTACCCGTTCAAGTCTTTTTGGGCCTGAGAATTTAAACCCAAAACCAAGCCCCTTCTGTCAAAAAAAAATCCTTCTTCGTGGAAAAGTTCCTGCAGCCGAACGGAGCCATCAGCTGTTGCCTGGCAGCGTCCTCATTCTGGGATGTCTGGTATATCCCTCCATCCTAGTCCCCATTAGACTTTACAGCATATATCACTCTGCAGTACAACAAAGGGACACAGTGAATGTTTTTAGAGACATTATCATTTTTCTTTCTGGACTACAGGTTTCCCTTCACACTGTAAAACTTCCAGCGTCTCAGCAGCAGCTCTTCCCCCTGAAATATGAACAACGAGCTCCGTGCCTCCACATGTGGTGTTTACGCTCCCTTCTTTCCTGTCCCAGTTAATGAATCATGTCAGAACAATCGTATTTCATCTCCCTGTCCTTCTTCTCCTTCTTCTTCTAGTGTCGTCATAATTGTTTGTGTTTTACACTTCTGTCCTGCCAGAATCAATTAGCCGTGTCACCGCGGTGCATTTCCTTTTTTCCTCTCCACGCCCAAACAAGTTAATGTGATCACTGTGGCTCCATATTGTATATGTCAGACACCTCCTTCCTGTCCACATTCATTTGTCACGTTAGAAATTCTCTTTCAGTCAAACTGGCTGTTTGTTTCTATCCGCTCAGATTAGCTTTGACATTTACTTCCTGACCTTTACACCGATATCAGCTGCATCAACCGCGCTGGGTTAAAAGTGAGGTCACATCCTGTGGACCAGACCAGGTCGCACAGAGATGTCAGGTGAAAACCTTGTTTCTCCAAGATGTCAAACTGTCAGGAAGTCAGAGTCTCAGGTGTTATTGCAGTGTTAGTGGCGGGATTATTAGATAACACTCTATATAATGAGCTCCACTTGTCAAGTACTGTGACAAATAAATAACTCAACAATATACACAGCTTCAATGCTTCACACTCAATATGTGCTGGTCCGTGTTGATGGGAAGCACCATGTTGAAACTGTGGGGGTGGGAGATCTGGCAAAAAGATCGCATGACAATTTTAATAATGATTTGCATGTTTCCGCTCTGGTTTTATTCTGGAAGTCCTAACTGGAAGTTGTGTAATTCGTACCTTTGACGCGTCTTTGGGATGTTTGTCCATCCTTGTATAAAAAGCGAGAGGTTGGTGGTTTTGTATCTTTCCAAGTCACTGTTATTATTTTCTTGGCAAGTGTTCGCAGTATGTACCTCTGATCTACGTCAGACATCCCTTTAGGTTCAGCTCCTGACAATAATAACAGTGGATCCAGGGGGACGTCCACCTCTAAAATGTTTGCGTGTGATCCCACACTTTGTCCACATTTTCTCCAGCATGATTCCACGTAAGGTTCATTTTCAAAAGGTTCTTTCACATGTGAAGAAATGCTTTTTTGTTAGAGTGGTTTATACTTTTTTTAGGAGTTTCTTAGATTAGTGGAGTCACTCCTGCACATGTGCAGTCATCTCAACCTCATGCAGGTGAACAAGAACTGGTGGTGAAAAAGTCGAGCTTCTGAAAACCACAACAGAACCTGGTGTCACTAGTCCGGACGCTTCAGACTCAGGTCACTAAAATGCCTCTGCTCAGTCGTGCCCTTCAGTAAACCTTCCACACCTGGCTGCTGGACTGATGCCAGACTCCCGCGATGGATGACGCACCGGATTCCACCCAAGTGCGACGGTCCGGTTCCAGGCACCAATGTTGGCCCAAACCTCGGCCCGTGTGCAGCTGACTGGAGCTGGTTCTCCCTCCGAGTCAACCCAGGCCCACTTTCTGAAAACTGAGCCAAGAGTGGCAACAATACGAGGGATGGAGCCAGAACGTTTGGTCCTCCAGTGTGCCAACATCGACGTCCTACAGAGATGGATATTTTCAACCTTTCTGATCTGCTGCAGTGTCTGTGGGACAGACGCTTTGTTCCTCCTAATATAATCATGATGTGAATCATTATTTATAGAAAACTTTCACAACCCAGGTTACAGACTGGTTCACACAAGGAAGGGAGAAAATCAATTATAAAATCTTTGGATTTTACACATAAAAGACCAGTCCTGTGAGCTCTCACACAACAGTGTGTTTTTATGAAGAGATTTCAGAAATGATCCCAAATCAGCCGATCACATTCCCCCAGGCAGGCTGGACTGTGAAGACCATGTCCACTGTAATCAATAAAAAAATTAGTAAACCTTAAAATGGATTCTAACGCTGCCTGGGAGCTGGTGTAAGGGCGGGAAAGCAGATGTGATACAGTCACACCTCTTGGTTCTGTACAGTTTGCGGTCGATCAATAGATTTTTGGTGCAGAAACATGAAGAGACTGAGAAGCAGAGATACAGCACAAACATGGAGGGTGATGTACGGTGGTTCGATGCTGCCTGAACTGAAGTGAGCCTTCGTGTGTTCAGAGACCAGGGTAGATCATCCATGGAGGCTCTGGTTTCTTCAGGGAGGTGAAGGGTGAAGCAGCTGGTTCAAGTGTCTGATTCTGTGGCTGGTTGCACAAAACAACCTTAAGGTTTCCTTAAAATGTTCCCTGAAGTATTAAAGGTTTTCCTCTTATCTTGTTCTTTTACTTAAGGAGTCACTTAAAGTCAGTTAAACTGTTGCACAAAAGAACTTAGTGACCACACTGAAGAAAAACTAAAAAATACCTCTGACTCTTATCTAAGCTGCAACATGGCCGAGTTTATGGCGAAGAACGCGACCAGGAGACGCCGTTAACGATGAGGAATTGATTTGACGAGCAGTCAGTTCATGATCTTTCCTACCGTCTAGAGTTGACTCCCTTCACTTTCCGCAGCTTTATGATCGTAACTAACTTCTACGGTTTTATGTCGCATGACCTCTCTGGTCAGGTTCAGTCGAGGTGTTTCAAGTCTTTCTGTAAAATCTCTTTCACTGCTGCTCAACTTTATTCTTTAACTAAGGAAACCTTTTAAGAGATTCTGTGCAACACCCTTAAGTAACTCCCTCAGCTGAGGAGAAATAAAACCTCAAGTGTCAGACTTAAATAGGAAACTTAAGGTGTTTTGTGGAAGCAGTATTTAAGGTGAGGGATGGTTCGAACGCTGCTGGTTGATTGGTCAGGCTCAGTAAATCTTGTAGAGCGTGGTTCAGGATCCTTTAGTTCCCTGTTGTCAGGGGACCCCGTTCTCAGGAGGGACTACACCTCCCATCATGCTTCAGTGTGCCAGGAGTCGATAAAGGAAGTTGGTAGAAAAAAAGTGTTTGCGTCGCTTTGCGTATTTTCATCATGATCCTGAACTAGAGTCAGACTGTCTAATGCAGAGATGGATGAATGGAGTGGTACTCAAACTGTACACCCCCCCCCCCCCCACCACCAGCCCCTCCCCCCACGTCCTCCTCCCACCTCAGTGCTCTGAAACTCAAATTAG